AAAAAAAAAAAAATACGTCCTTGGAAAATTTGACTACTAACTTTAAACCCAAATGTCCTTGTTCATATATATGTATATGTATTTGTATATACATATATGTGTGTATATTATATCATTTCTCTTGGGATTTTGGGTCATTTTTAACAACTGCATCTTTTTTACTCATTCATTAACCCTTTTCCAAAATAAACATTTGGTGTTGGGAATATAATATAATCAATCAATCCAAAATCCTAGACCTAACACTTGTTGATTTTTAATAATGAATCTGGTTAGCCATGGTATTTTGACTTTCTTTCAGACTAACAGTGTTAAGAATTTTTTTGCATGTTAATGCTTTAGCATTTAAAATGGAAAATTGTGAAGAAAATCTAATTTCAAGAGGTGAGTCCGGCATTGCCCTAATAGTGTCTTGTCTTCTCAGTTGCAGAGCACCTCGTTTACTTTGTTAAATGCTCAAATAACTGCAAAGTTTATTGGCGCAGCTTTCGTAGTTACAAAAATAAATTTCTCATACTTGCAGTTTAACTACATATGAACTTAATTTCAAAATGGTTTCTTTGTTTTTGAAAATGTGGGAAATATCAGGCTCTAGGTGTTTGATGTGGAGTCGAAGTCTGCAGTTAGGCCTTGCAAATTGAAGATAACTGGGGCAAATGCCATTGAAACCGCTCTATTTCCTTTCTGTCACTCTCTAGCACTATTAGTGCTTGTGAGGAGTAGAACTGTTAGGGCACAGACTTATTTCTTATCACTGTTGCCATACAGTTCAACTCCTCTTTTCATGTTGTTTTGTTTGTTTTTATTTGCCCCCTTCTGGGGCCTACCTCCTGATACCTGCCTGCTTTCTCGAAGTAGTGGGCAGGTAAGATTTGGTTTCTAATTTTTTAATTTCTGAATGACTGCTCTAGTCTGAACTTGGCCGTCACAAATTAATCTTTGTTCCATATTTTCAGTGTTATATTTAAACAAAATTAAGATTTAAAAATAATTTCTAATCTGAGGATACTTTTCAAGAAATATAATTAACTGATGTCATCCTCATCCCAGCAGCTCATCTGTTAGGAATGAAGTTGAGATGCGTCCCTTCCATATTTCTGTATTTGAAAAGGATTCAAAATTAAAGATTTAATGTAATGGGAGTTTTCAGATGATGAAATTTAAGCTCAGGATAGCAAGCACTAATGCTCTGCCTCTGCGTCTCAGTTGGGACTTAATTGTCCCTTTTCAGTGTTGTAATCATTGCATGACTAAACATAGTGCCAAGAAGTTTGTAATGAGGTAGATAGCTAATGCCACTGAGAAATTGTCCTACCATTTAGGTAAGACCAAGTGGAGTATCTAAACCGAGGTCTTGTTATAGTGTTTTCTTACAAAATGAAACCAATTTTTGTGTAAAGCTAGCTGGGATAATAGGATCGTTTCTAGAACTAAAATTAGATTGAAATCTCATCACTTCAGGCATTCAGCAGCTTTCAGAAAGAATTACCTTTTTTTGAGCTAGTTTTATTGTTTGTTTACTGTTTATCTCTTA